TATTCTATTGGGTTGATCAAAAAATCTTTTTTCACAGACACAGGCAATTTGGTTCTTTCACAGACATTCATTGTCTAATTCGTTGCACTATTATAGACGGAATTTAAAACGAGTTCAATAAAAAAAAATGAAATTTATTTTCTTTTTCCTCTCTTTTCTTTGTAAATGACGAAAGTCTACTTTTTAATCAACCCAATATACTAAAAAAAAAAAAAAAAGAAAAAAAAGGCTAAGGCAACAAATTCAAATTAAAGCTGAAGAGATATTTTTACAAGATCATAAAGATCGTATAAACAGGTAGAGAATTATTGAAGACGGAAATTTCGCGATCTTTCGGCGTGAAATCGCGTGGCCAAAATGGCGGATAGACGCCATGGCACGAGCTCGAGGCAAATTTTCAGACGAGGGGGGTTACTCCATCGGTACGCGGTATGCACCCTTGGGAAATTGAAAACCACTTTTAGAGAATGAGACTTCCCTGCCAACAAGCTGGTCTGCCGCAATCATCCATGTGAGACTTTTCTTCCATTGTGTCCGGGTGTGGCTGCAGATCTTCTGACGCGCGACGTTGCTGAAAATGTCTTTCTCGCATTCTCTCGTTTCTCTCTTTTTTTTCCTTTTTCTTTTTTTTTATTATTCTTTCTTTCGTCTTTTTCCTTCTGTTTTTTTTCCTTTCCTCTTTTTCTTTTGTTTTCGCCAGTTTTTCTGATTTTCCTCGCTCTTTTCTTTTTTCTTTCCTCTCTTTTTTTCTTTCTTTCTTTCTTTTTTTTTTTATCTATCCCCCGGACAATGGACAATTTTCGGTCCCCCGAAGAGACAGATTCGCGAACGGTCGAAGCGTGGAAATATCTATTCTCCCCCGTCGTTCGAGGAAACGTATGAATTTTTCCATCGGCTGCCTCCTCAGCTTGCCTGCTTTCTCTTAAACGATACTCTTTCTCCCCTCGTTTTTTTTTTTTTTTCTTCTTTCCTTTGCCCTTTTGCCATTTCTCGTCGATCCTTCCTCGAGATCGAGAATCTCGTTAAAATTCGTCAAAGGGATGAAACGAGGATCGCGCGCAAACATTTCTTTTTCACAAAAAAAAAAAAAAGGAATCACGAACGATGTGATCGAGGAAAGATCGCGAGATGTTTTTTTTTTTTCTCTTTTTTTTTCAACAAAGCACGAAATTTTCTTGAATTTCGCGAAGATCGTCGCGAGAACGCGTGCAAACGTGAACGAAGACAGGAGGGATCCAAGAAACACGCTCCCTTTCTCCCAACAACCCCAACGTATCATCGGATCCGAGTGCCTCTCGGACTATTATTATTATTATGGATGCGTATCTTTAACATCTTTCCTTCACGTTTATTTATTTATTTATTTATTTTTTATCTCGATTTTCATATTACTTTAGACTTTTTTTTTTTTTTCTCTCTAGGCTCGACAATTCTCGAGTGTAGCGTTTTTGTGTGGGGCAGCAAAACAGCAGCGAGGGTTGATAGCCGGGGTTCGTGCAGCACAGCTTGTCAGCAGAGTGGTGTACGTGTCATTCGTAAAAGACATATCACTTTAACTACTAATTCTTATTTACAAGATCGTGATCACGCTCCATTTCGACGTGGAAATTTTTGTCGAGCGTCTTACGGAGCTATTGCATAATTATCAATAAATAATATATATATATATTATCAGAATGTAATGTTTCAACCATAGAGAGAATTAAATAAATATATATATATATATATATAAAACGTTAATAAATAAAGAAACAGATAAATCGTGTGACAGTTGTGACATATTGAAATGGAGCGGTCACGTGTGGCTGCGGAAACATCTTGTACTTTTATTACGACCTAGCCACCGAAACAGGTGATTGGTGTATTGCAACTAGTTCTTTGCACCTGGATAGCTGCGATAGGCTGCTAGAAAGAGAGAAATAGAACAGTGGTGTTTTTTTTGGTGATGTTAACAAGAATTCTGCCTCGTGTACTACTCACTACACGCTACGAGAACGGCTGAACATCATACAAGGAATAATGTAATAGTAAAACTGGACGAACACAAAAGCGACAAACAATGAAGGTTTTTTTGGGGAGAGGAGACGGCGTATCGAACGATGGGACGTCGAGTGAGAGGAGAACAAGAGAGAACTAAAAAGGAAGGAGAGAAAAAAAAAAAAGAAAAAGAAAAAGACAAGAGACGAGAAGAAAATTGTAAATGATCGAAAAAAAATTTAGGATGAGGAAGGGGAAGGGGAGAGTGAGATAGAGGCTGTACCGAAGAGAAAAATGAATAATCGGATAAAACGAAATAAATGAAAATATAGGACTGTAACTGGGTTACATAACGTGAGAGAAACTAATGTAATATACATCTGGACGATAACCGTATCGAATTTGGCGCCTCGTTTCACTTTTCATTACTTCCTTACACAATTATCCGGTGGGTAATAAATTCTGCGTTACCGATCGACACGTTTAATTAACGCGCGCTATCTCGGGCTTCGATGGGGGCGCTAGTAACTTTCCTAGGGACATTTACTCGATTCATGCTCGACGACACGCTACCCGCTACGGTTATCGCGTTAATTCGAGCACTGCGCAACTATTGGCCAATTTTACTTGTGGTTCGTTAACCTGTCTCACGTGCGACAGTGCCATACAGATAGAGAAATATATATATATATATATATAAAATATATGTATATATATAATATATATATATACGTATCGCTATATAATAATACGTAATATATATAAAAATATATAAATAAGTGAATAGATAGATAAATACAGAGAAAGAGAGAGAGAGAGAGCTCGATGTGTAACCAGCGTATATATATATATATATATAGTAAGAAAGGGACTACTGCGTTCAAGGGGGGAAGCCCGACGTATATACTCGACGTAGATTGGCGAAAAGCAGCGCAGCAACGAAAGCTCCTTTTGACGCAAACCCAGGAAACTGAAAGAGGGTGACAGAGAGTACATGTGAAAGATCGAAGAACAGATATAGAGATATAGAGAAAGATAGAGAAAGAAACAGATAGAGATAGAGAAAGAGAGAGAAAGAGAGAGTTAGAGACAGAGAGAAGATAGAGAAGAAATGACGCGAGGGATGAGAAAGAAAGAGAAGGGGAGAAGAAGAGTTCGATGTGCGGTCAAGTAGGATATGCGTGCACTTCGAGAGTCTTTTGTTCTTCGAGAACGACGTAACTTCCGTCTTTTTCTCCAGGGTTCTCCTTTCAAAGCGCCTCGATACGCATTTACTCGGCTTCCCTTTCGATCGTTAGACGAACACTACGTACCGTGGAATGGAATGGAACGAATCGAAAGAGTATTCTCTTTCCTCTTTCGTTTCTTTCTAAATATATATCTGCCAATGTTACGAGTCGGTTCACAGGCTGAAATTATCCCTTTTTGTCTGCGCAAATTTCGATCGTTTTCCGCATGCAAAATCGCTTCGATTCCTCGCCGATAGGCGTGCCAATTAAAGCCACGAATACATAACGTAGCGGCCAGACTTTCACCACCAATATATCTTTCCGCGAAGCTCAGCCCAGACTCAAACAAGACAACAGCACCGGCTGATAACCACTTTCCAGCGACGAGAGACAATAACAGGGATAGGAGAGAAAGAGAGAGAGAGAGAGAGAGAAAAGAACGATAAAGAAAGATACGTGTACAAGACATCCGCCGCACATGAAGCACACGCCACATGGAACTGAAAGAAAGAGAGAGAGAGAGAGAGAAACAGAGAGAGGCGAGAAGAGAGTTAGAGTGAAGAAAGATGGTGAATGGAGGGGGAAAATCGTCGCAGGATCTTCGATGGGTTTTAACGGATTTTGGAACTAGATCTCTTTTTCGCAATATTGAAATTTCATACTTTTTTTACGATCATCTCGAAAGAATTGTGCCACTTAAAAGTTGAAAGAATAAATCTGATTCGACGGTATTTTACTTGTATTCTCAAGGGAGCAGAGTTTATTCGATAAAAAATTATTGAAGGAAGAAAAAGATTACTTCGATATTTTTGGAAAAATATCAATAATCTATTTAAACAGTTAGTAATACCAATATTCTCATATACCTCGATCCCCAACTTCCAAGTGGCAGCGTGCGTGAATTAAATTTAATTCGTTGCCATCCCAAATATCGAGTCAATAAAGTTTCACAGAAATTTACTAATGATACGCGCATCAATATCTATCTCGTGAGAGATAAGAAAGAGAAATTCGAGGGACGATTGTTCGCACGACGATTCTTTCACCGAGTATCAATTCGAGGAAGAAGTCCCTCGAGAGGAGGGAAACTTTCTTTCAAGAAATCCCTTTTTCAAGGATGACTCGTTAACGATTCCGAGAACGGAGAACCGCGGCCAGTTCTCGCGATTCTCATAGAGAGAGAGAGAGAGAGAGAGAGAGAGAGAGAGAGAGAGAGAGTAGGACGACGT